GTGTTAGCCAGGATGGTCTCAATCTCCTGACCTCGTGATCCGCCCGTCTCGGCCTCCCAAAGTGCTGGGATTACAGGCGTGAGCCACCGCGCCCGGCCGAGAGTTTCTTCTTTAAAATCAGGAATAGATGTTAGATTTTGTCCAAAGCATTTTTTCTATTTATTGAGAGGATAATTTAGGTTTTTTTTTTTTTTTTTTCATGCGATGAATTACAATGATTGGTTTTCAAATGTTAAATCATCCTTACATTCCCGAAATATATCCACTTGAAGTGTCATCTATTTTATATAATGTTGAATTTGATTTGCTAAAAGGGTTTAAAGAATTTTTTTGCCAGCTTTTGCATAAGGGATGTTGGGGGATTTTCTTTTCTTGTTAAATGTCTTTGTCTGGTTTTAGTATCGGCATAATTCTAGATTCACAGAGTAAATTGGGAAGTATTCTCACTCCTTTGACTTCTGAAAAAGTTTATGTGAAATTGGTGTTATTTCTTCCTTACATTTTACACAAGTGAAATGATTAGATCTGGATTGTTCCTTCAGGAAGATTTTTTTTTTCAGGAAGTTTTTTTTTTTTTTTCTTTTGAGACGGAGACTTGCCCTGTCTCCAGGCTGGAGTGCAGTGGCGCAATCTTGGCTCACTGCAACCTCCACCTCCCGAATTCAAGCAATTCTCCTACCTCAGCCTCCCAAGTAGGCATGCACCACCACGCCCAGCTAATTTTTTTGTATTTTATTAGAGACGGGGTTTCACCATGTTGACTAGGATGGTTTCGATCTCCTGACCTCGTGATCCGCCCGCCTCAGCCTCCCAAAGTGCTGGGATTACATGCGTGAGCCACCATGCTCGGCTCAGGGAGATTTTTAACTACATGTTAGATTTCTTTAACAGATATACATTTATATTTATATTTATTTATATTTATATTTATTAATATTTCTTTTGGAGTAAATTTTAGGTTTCATTTGTTTTGTTTTTAGTTTCTTTAATGGGAACATGAAGTTACTGATTTGAAGCCTTTCTTCTTTTCTAGCATAGGCGTTTAGAACTACACATTTCCCCCAAATACTGTTTTACTTGCAGTCTCGGAATTTTGATATACTGTGTTTTCATTTTCATTCAGTTCAAACAGTTTCTAATTATCCTTGTTATTTTGTGGGGAGGACAATGAGTTAGTTAGAAGTGTTTTATTTCCAAATACTGGAGGATTTTCCTTGTTATCTTTTGGGCCTGTCTGCCTTCTTTCTTTCCTTCCTTCCTGCCCTCCCGCCCTCTCTCCCTTCCTTCCTTCCTTTCCTCCTTTCTTCTTTCTTTCTTTCTTAGGGTCTTACTCTGTCACCCAGGCTGAAGTGCAGAGGCCCAATCATAGCTCACTGCAGCCTCAAACTCCTGAGTTCAAGGCATCCTCCTGCCTCAGCCTCAGCTCAGTCCCTACAGCTGGGACTATAGGCATGTGCCACTACACCGGCTAATTAAAAAACATTTTTTTTTTTTTGGCGGGGCTGGGCGCGGTGGCTCATGCCTGTAATCCCTGCACTTTGGGAAGCCGAGATGGGAGGATCACTTGAGGCCAGGAGTTTGAGACCAGCCTGGCCAACATGGCAAAATCCTGTCTCTACTAAAAATATACACACAGAAAAAAAAATTAGGCATGGTGGTGCACTCCTGTAATCCCAGCTACTCGGGAGGCTGAGACACAATAATACCTTGAACCCAGGAGGTGGAGGCTGCTATGAGCCGAGATCGTGCCACTGCACTCCAGTCTGGGTGACAGACCAAGACTCTGTCTCAAAAAAAACAAAACAAAACAAAAATTAAAAATGTGTTATATATCTTCTTCTTATAGAGTTTTTTTTTTTTTAAAGGATAGCTATTTGTCCTGATATAGAGTTGTACATGTTCTCCTTTGTTAGACATTTCATGGGTACATTTTTGCAAATATTTTCTCCCAGTCTTTGGCTTTTCATTTTCTTAACAGTGTTTTCAAAGAGCTAAAGTTTTTTAATTTTGATGAAGTCCAATTTATTTGCTTTTCTTTTACATTTTATTTTTAGTTTGTCATACTTCAGAAATCTTTCCCAAACCCAAGATGTATTCTATTCACTCAGATTTCCTCCTATGTTCTCTTCTAGAAGTTTTTCAGTTTCATCTCTTATACTTAGGTATACGATCCATTTTTAATTAATTTTTTCATATGGCATAAGGTAAGGATTGAGGTTCATATTTTTACATACGAATATTTAATTATTCCAGTACAAATTTTTGAAAAAATTATCTTTCCTCATTGATTACTTTTGGAATATTTGAACATTAATTGATAGTATTTGTGTGGATCTAGTTGTGGACTTTGTATTCTATTCCATCAATGTTTCTCTATATTTATTCACTACCCTACTGCCTTGATTATTGCAACTTTATAATAAGTTTCAAAACCAAGTAAGTTGTAAATTCCTCAGCTTAGTTGCTCCTATCAAAGGTATTTTGGCTATTCTAGGTCCTTTACGTTTTCAGATTTAAAAATCAGCTTCTCAGCTTTTACAAAATACCTGCTGTGGTTTTAACTGAGATTGTATTGAATCTATCTATCAATTTAGGGAATATTGACATATTAACAATATTGAGCTTTACAATCCATAAAGATACTATATCTCACCATTTATTTAGGTCTTCTTTAATTTCTTTCATTAATGTTTGTAGTTTTCAGTTCACAAGCTTTACACATCTTTTTTCAAGTTTATCCTGTTGTAAATGCTTTTAAAATTTCACTTTCTCACAAAACGATAAATACTGCATGATTCCACTTAAAGGAAGTATCTAAAGTAATGAAACTCACAGAAAGTAGAATGGTACTTGCCAGGGGCGGATGGCAGGAGAAAACAGGCAGTTGTTGGATTAGTATAGAGTTACATTCATGCAAGGTGAAAAAGTTCCAGAGATCTTTTTACGACAATGTGTATGTCGTTAGCAATACTGTAATGTACAATTAAAAACTGTTGAGAGGAATTTATGTTATATATTGTAACATTATAGATACTTTTTTACTACAATAAAACATTTCAATTTCTGAGTATTCATTACTAAAATATGAAACACAATTGATTTTTGTTTAGTGGCCTTATATCTTCAAGTCTTATGAAATTCACTTATTCCACTAGCTTTTTATAGATTCCATAGGATGATCTCTGTAGGAGACTGGGCAGCCTGCAAATGAAGAGTTACCTTTCTTCCCTTCCAATTTGGGTCCCTTTTCCTTCTTTTTCTTGACTTGTTGCCTTGGCTACAATTTTGAATGTAATAGTTTCAAATAGAAATGGTGAAAGTAGACACCCTTGTCTTACTCTTCTTTAAAATTAGTTTTATTTAAACATTTTTTTTGTAGAGGTGGGGATCTCACTGTGTTGCCCAGGCTAGTCTTGAACTCTTATCTTGAAGTGATCCCCCTACCTCAGCCTCCTACAGCGCTGGGATTACAGGCATGAACCACTGCACATGGGCCCTTGTCTTATTTTTGACCCCAGTGGGACAGCATTTATCTTTCAGCATTACATATGGTATCAGCTATAGGTTTTCCATTGATGAGTTTTGTCAGGTTGAGGACATTTTCTTTTTCTTTTTTTGAGATGGAGTCTTGCTCTATTGCCCGGGCTGGAGTGCAGTAGTGCAATCTTGGCTCACTGCAACCTCCACCTCCCAGGTTCAAGTGATTCTCCTCCCTCAGCCTCCCAAAAGCTGGGACTAGAGGCATGCGCCACCACGTATGGCAAATTTTGGGTGTTTTTTTTTTTTTTTTAAGTAGAGACGGGGTTTCACCATGTTGGTCAGGCTAGTCTCGAACTTCTGACCTCAGGTGATCCACCCGCCTCAGCCTCCCAAAGTGGTGGGATTATAGGGGTGAGCTACCACGCCCAGCCAAATTGAGGAAATTTTTACCTGTTTCTAATTTGTTGAGAGTTTCTTTTTTATTTTATTTATTTTATTTTAATTTAATTTTATTTTATTTTATTCTATTTTATTTTATTTTATTTTATTTTATTTATTTATTTATTTTTTTGAGACGGAGTCTCGCTCTGTCGCCCGGGCTGGAGTGCAGTGGCCAGATCTCAGCTCACTGCAAGCTCCGCCTCCCGGGTTCACGTCATTCTCCTGCCTCAGCCTCCGGAGTAGCTGGGACTACAGGCGCCCGCCACCTCGCCGGGTTAGTGTTTTTGTATTTTTTAGTAGAGACGGGGTTTCACCGTGTTAGCCAGGATGGTCTCAATCTCCTGACCTCGTGATCCGCCCGTCTCGGCCTCCCAAAGTGCTGGGATTACAGGCGTGAGCCACCGCGCCCGGCCGAGAGTTTCTTCTTTAAAATCAGGAATAGATGTTAGATTTTGTCCAAAGCATTTTTTCTATTTATTGAGAGGATAATTTAGGTTTTTTTTTTTTTTTTTTCATGCGATGAATTACAATGATTGGTTTTCAAATGTTAAATCATCCTTACATTCCCGAAATATATCCACTTGAAGTGTCATCTATTTTATATAATGTTGAATTTGATTTGCTAAAAGGGTTTAAAGAATTTTTTTGCCAGCTTTTGCATAAGGGATGTTGGGGGATTTTCTTTTCTTGTTAAATGTCTTTGTCTGGTTTTAGTATCGGCATAATTCTAGATTCACAGAGTAAATTGGGAAGTATTCTCACTCCTTTGACTTCTGAAAAAGTTTATGTGAAATTGGTGTTATTTCTTCCTTACATTTTACACAAGTGAAATGATTAGATCTGGATTGTTCCTTCAGGAAGATTTTTTTTTTCAGGAAGTTTTTTTTTTTTTTTCTTTTGAGACGGAGACTTGCCCTGTCTCCAGGCTGGAGTGCAGTGGCGCAATCTTGGCTCACTGCAACCTCCACCTCCCGAATTCAAGCAATTCTCCTACCTCAGCCTCCCAAGTAGGCATGCACCACCACGCCCAGCTAATTTTTTTGTATTTTATTAGAGACGGGGTTTCACCATGTTGACTAGGATGGTTTCGATCTCCTGCCCTCGTGATCCGCCCGCCTCAGCCTCCCAAAGTGCTGGGATTACATGCGTGAGCCACCATGCTCGGCTCAGGGAGATTTTTAACTACATGTTAGATTTCTTTAACAGATATACATTTATATTTATATTTATTTATATTTATATTTATTAATATTTCTTTTGGAGTAAATTTTAGGTTTCATTTGTTTTGTTTTTAGTTTCTTTAATGGGAACATGAAGTTACTGATTTGAAGCCTTTCTTCTTTTCTAGCATAGGCGTTTAGAACTACACATTTCCCCCAAATACTGTTTTACTTGCAGTCTCGGAATTTTGATATACTGTGTTTTCATTTTCATTCAGTTCAAACAGTTTCTAATTATCCTTGTTATTTTGTGGGGAGGACAATGAGTTAGTTAGAAGTGTTTTATTTCCAAATACTGGAGGATTTTCCTTGTTATCTTTTGGGCCTGTCTGCCTTCTTTCTTTCCTTCCTTCCTGCCCTCCCGCCCTCTCTCCCTTCCTTCCTTCCTTTCCTCCTTTCTTCTTTCTTTCTTTCTTAGGGTCTTACTCTGTCACCCAGGCTGAAGTGCAGAGGCCCAATCATAGCTCACTGCAGCCTCAAACTCCTGAGTTCAAGGCATCCTCCTGCCTCAGCCTCAGCTCAGTCCCTACAGCTGGGACTATAGGCATGTGCCACTACACCGGCTAATTAAAAAACATTTTTTTTTTTTTGGCGGGGCTGGGCGCGGTGGCTCATGCCTGTAATCCCTGCACTTTGGGAAGCCGAGATGGGAGGATCACTTGAGGCCAGGAGTTTGAGACCAGCCTGGCCAACATGGCAAAATCCTGTCTCTACTAAAAATATACACACAGAAAAAAAAATTAGGCATGGTGGTGCACTCCTGTAATCCCAGCTACTCGGGAGGCTGAGACACAATAATACCTTGAACCCAGGAGGTGGAGGCTGCTATGAGCCGAGATCGTGCCACTGCACTCCAGTCTGGGTGACAGACCAAGACTCTGTCTCAAAACAAAACAAAAAAACCTTCCATTTTTTTTTTCTGGTGGGGGTAGGGGGGAGTTCTCACAAATTTGCCCAGGCTGATCTTGAACTCCTGGCCTCAAGTGATCCTCCCACCTCAGTCTCGCAAATTGTTGGGATTACAGGTATGAGCCAGTGCACCTGGCCTGGTCCTTATGTCATATTTATTTACTTTTGGTCAGAAAAGATATATGATTTGATTGGTAAATATTCTATGTGCACTTTAAAAGAATGTGTATTCTGCCAGAATGAGTGTACTGTAAATATCAATTAGGTTAAGTTAGTTGATGGTATTGTTTAAGTCTTCTCTATCTTTACTGATTTTCTCTTTATCATGTAATCAATTATTGAAAAAGTAATATTGAAATATATGACTGTAATTACGAATTTGCCTATTTATTCCTGCATTTCATTTCTATCAGTTTTTCTTCATGTACTTTGACACTCTGCTATTAAGTACATAAACATTTTGGATTCTTATGTCCTCTTGCTGAGTTGACCCTTTTATCATTATGAAATAAACCTCTTTAACTCTGGTAATATTCTTTGCTCAGAAACCTACTAGTTCTGATGTTAATGTTGTCACTCCTGCTTTCTTTTGATGTGTGTATACCTCCCTTTATTGAATCTATTTATGTCTCTATTTAAAGTTGGTTTCTTTTGAGCAGCATAATTAGGTCTAGCTTTTTAAAAAAACATACCTGACAACTCCTATGTTCTAATTGGAGTATTTAGAGTATATATAGAGTATTCTAACTGATACCTCAGTAAATATGAATTTTTTTCCACTTTGGCTGGTGTAAGCATGAGCTTCCCAGCCCTGTGTGGATCCTGAAGATTGTTTTCTCTGTTCCCCATTGGTGTTTACTTTCTAACCTTGAGTGGTTTCTTCCATCACATGCACTTATCAGTATACCCAGGTAAAGACTTGAGGGTGACCCTCTGCAAAATTCTGAAGCTCTACCTGCAGCTCTTCTCTGGTATTCTTTCCTAAAAGCTCCAGTTACCTTGACCTTCTGAGATCCCAGCTCTATGCCCTCAATTCAAATCAGAGGAATGAGATAGTCAGATTACACTTCATGAGCTTTGGGTATAGAAAAGAGGGAACTGTTGCTGCCCTGGCGGGTGGGCCCATGCTGGAGACATGGAGAAAACTTGGTGTCATGGTACAGTAATGAAGGACTACATAGGATAAGAGTGTGGGAATGAGCTCAGCTCCAACGTGCAGACCAGTGCGGGCAACCAGGCAGTCCAGTGCACAATATCCAAGCCTTCTAGTTGCTGAGGAGCTGTTCAGATCGATAGGTTACAGGATCAGGAGCCAACTTGTCTGGAAAGGCATGGTAGTAGCAGGAAAGGAATTAGGGCAGCCGAATTCCAAGAATGCTCTCACTTTGACAGATAGCCAGAACCCATTTAGATGAGTGGGAGCTAAATGATGGGTCCAGCTGAGCTGCCTAAGAAATGGGGCGAGATGCTGCTGGGGCAGGGCCTGAGGACTCTAAGCTAAAGTGGGAAAAGAGAAAGGATGGGTCTGATGTACGAGCAAGAAGGCCTGTCCCTCAGACTGGGCTCAATGGCAGAAAGTCAGAGAAGCATAATGTAAAAATTGCTGGAATACCCAGGGCTCACCCTCATACACATCAAATCCAATGTGACAGGACAAGCCAGAGCCTGAGCAAGAAGTGGGGTCAAGGCTGCTGATAAACTTCTTGCTACAATCATGAAGTTAAATGGACTTGGCCTACGCGGAAAGGGCACCAGAGGGTCCAGCTGCAAGGCCACTATTTAAGTAAAATGACCTAGAGAGGTATTTCCTGTCTTGAACTTGTTCCATGGCCATTGAGAGCAGTCTGCTTTTGTTTTGTGTTTAAAAGTGTTTGAACGCTTTTAGATTTTTGTCAGTCTTCCTAATGTGGACCCAGCAGAACATGGCCAATCAGGAACCTGTTTTGTTGTAGGTGTGCCCACTGCCTAGCCCCCCGCCCATCAGATCCCTTTGCTCGCTTCTGTCAAGAATGTGGCTCTCCTGTCCCACCCATATTTGGCTGTCGTCTCCCACCCCCGGAAGGAGCTCAGGTGAGCAGCAGAATTATCAAAAACATCTTTCATTGGCTGATCTGATCTTTATTTGCAGTAGTAACACAGTGCTTGGTACACATGAACTGCACATATACATACTTGTTGAAGAATTACTGGCTGATTGAACTCTTACACGCTCCTGCTTACGCATGGAAAAACTTATTTGCAATGCTGTGTCTTTTGTGTGGCCTGCCAGAGGCACGGGCTCAAAAAAGATTAGAATCTTATTGTTTTAATGAGGCATGCATGGATAAATAAATATTTCCTACTCATTTGATAGCTCTGCTCATATTCTGGGTATAATAAGGAAATATATTCTAGAAATAAATGAAGAGAAGTACCAATTACTTTGTGTCTTTATATATCTATCTATCCATAAGATGCATCATTCTGTCCAAAGAATCTATAGATTGATCTATGTATTGAAATGTAAAAGCTTTGGCTGGTTAAGGGTAGATAATAATTGATATTATCTCACTACTAATTTTGTAGATAGTTAAAAAACGTACTTGGCTTGCTAAAAATTAAAACCTTCACCAAAATGTGTTCATCTTTTAAGCACTTGATATTTTGGGGATTTTTTTTGGACTCGGAATGAAGGGATGAAAATGAAATAAAGAGATCTGTGATATTGAGTGAAAAATTACAATTTTTAAAAAGATAGTTACTAAGAAAAAGTTACTAATTGAGTGAGTTCCAAGTCCAGAGTTTTAGATTCGAGTTATGCCTCAAGCAAGGGGTCAGGTATTAAATGGCTCTTTTAATATTCTTCTAATATATTGCTCAAGATTTTTGTAGAAGTTAATTTAATTTACTTCAGTGATACATTTTAAACTCCTTAAAGATTTTGCTAATATATAATGGCAGAATCTTAGGGAATGAGTGTGGGAGTCGATTTTAAATAAAAACAGACTCTAACACCAAATTGGGCCAGATTCATTGATATGTGTGCAGCTTGTAGAGATTCTGGACTAAATGTGTTAGTGAAACAAGATGATATAGAAAACAAAATATGAACAAGTCCCATTGGTTTGATTTATTCTCTGTTTATACTAATTGGTGTAATACCAAAATTATTTTCTACTTGCCTGGAAAGGGATTTTCACAACTAACTTCATTTTTACAGGGAGGAAAGATTATCGGTGATTATAAATGTTTAACATAATGAACTTTAAAACACCTAGATTGCCCCCCAATTATATTTCTATTAGTGTAACAATAGGCTATAATGTATAACAGCTTTGTAATTTAAACTAACAACCATTTATCAAGTACGTACTGTATCCTGCTCTGAGCTGCCCTTCTAGAATTCAAAGGGGCAGGATCCTACTTAGACCCAAGACTCTCAGAGAGTCTCAGTAAAGAGATGCAGAGGTACGTGCTTTCTCGTCTCTTTGCCCTTGCGATGTGAGCTAACCTGTAGGACATGCTGAACCCTGTGAATTTGTGTTGTCCCGTGGACGCTTCTCAGTGAGTTCCACTGGCACCCCAACCAGCTTCCCAGATAGTCTCTGGGGCATCCCAGTAACAACTTTCCAGCAAGTTCCAGCAGCATCTCTGTATCTGACTTCCCAACATGTTCTGCCAGTTCCCTGGATGAGGAGTTCCTAATGAGTTTCACTGGATCCCAGCGGGCGGCTTTTTCCTTGCGGGCTCTGATCTGTGTCACCTCAGTGAACTTCTCTGCCATCCAGTGGGTGACAACCACACTCAATTCAATGAAGTCTGATTTCAGCCTTGGGTATGGGGCAAAGTAAGTGCCTCTTCCAAATTTGTTCCTCCTTAGGCTGTCTGTCTCAGCCACAGAGGTAGGGGATCCTTCCTATGTTTGGAACTTCTGTATATGTAGAATCTGCTTTACCCATTAGTATTTAATCCCTGGCTACCAGTTAAAAATTATTTATATGAATTTTTCCTGTTCAAATTACTTGTGGTTTCTCTTTTTTTTTTTTTGAGACAGAGTCTCGCTCTGTCGCCCAGGCTGGAGTGCAGTGGCCGGATCTCAGCTCACTGCAAGCTCCGCCTCCCAGGTTCACGCCATTCTCCTGCCTCAGCCTCCCGAGTAGCTGGAACTACAGGCGCCCGCCACCTCGCCTGGCTAGTTTTTTGTATTTTTTAGTAGAGACGGGGTTTCACCGTGTTAGCCAGGATGGTCTCGATCTTCTGACCTCGTGATCCGCCCATCTCGGCCTCCCAAAGTGCTGGGATTACAGGCTTGAGCCACCGCACCCGGCCATTACTTGTGGTTTCTATCTCCTGATTGGACTCTGATACAGAATTGGTACCGGGATTGGTCCCAGGAAATAAACCTGCAAATGGGATTTTGGAAGTGGTTTGGTCTTGTCCTTTGCCTGGGAACAGTGCCGAGCTCCTTGCCAATGGGAAATGGGACACTGGTGATCCACAGCATGCGGGGGCATCACAGTTAATCAGGCTGTCACCTGTGGCTGATTGTGATGAAGTGCCAACTGAAGCAAGTGTCTTGAGTGGCCAAGTAGCTGCTTCACTTGACTCTATGGCAGTGACAATGACTACAAAAACTGTGGTGGAGGATGTATTCTCCTGAGTCCGTGGGAGCTTTCCAGAAAGAAAACGATAAGCTCAGGACCATTAAGTCATGGTGCAGGAACCAGAGAGCTCCTATGACAGCCCAAAATAATATATTTCTTGGAGCTCTGGGGTTATATTGATGAAAATCAAACAAAAATTAGATTGTATATGTTGGGGACTTATAATGTCTGTTAAATTCACGTGATCACCAGATTTATTATGTGAAAGTTAGGCCATTGATTGGGAAAGGATGGGATCCTGAAGCTCAGAGATGGCAGGTGGGACCCAGATGAAACTGACGGTCTGGTACCCTTGTCACTCTGTGCCTCTTGGCCAATGGATGTAGTTTGCCCTTATGTCTGAGGATGCTCTTCTGTCTGAGGATACCAGCCTTCATTTGCTTGAAATGTTTGTGATAACCTCACCTGGGAAGATGGCTTGAAAGGGGATGTTTATTCTCCTCACAGGTGGTTATGGGTGGTTTAAACCCATCACAACCACCTGTTGCATTCTAGGGACCCAACCCAGCATGCTACAGGAGGACAGGTGCACGCTGTGATCCAGGAGGAAATAACTTACACACACAAAGAAGAGGAAGATTGTACTAATATATAGTGGCAGAGTCTTGGGGAATAAGTGTGGGACTAGATTTTAAATGAAGACAATATGACTTGAAATTGGTATAAATTCATTGTGCATACCTTATAGAGATTCTGGGTTTAATGTGTTAGGTAATGCAGCTGTGGTGGCTCTAACAGCTTGCCTGGTTGACTGCCTAAAGCTTGACCTCAGTAGTGGCCTGTGTTTAATGAGATTGGGATACCAGAACTTTCCCAGGTATATTAGTTTGCTAAGGTTGCCACAGCAAAACCCCACAGACTGTGTGGCTTAAATAACAGAAATTTATTTCCTCATGGTTCTGCAGGCTGGAAGTTTAAGATCAAGGTGCCAGCAGGTTTGGTTTCTGGTGAGGCCTCTCTCCTCGGCTTTCAGACGGCTGCCTTCCTGATGTGTCCTTACTTGGCCTTTCCCCTGGGCAGACATCCCTGGTGTCTCTTCCTCTTCTTATAAAGACATCAGTCGTATTGGATCAAAGTCCCACTGTAATGACCTCATTTAACCTTAATTACCTCCTTAAAGGACCTGTCTCAAATTCAATCACATTGGGAGCTGGAGCTTCAATATAATGAATTCTGGGGGGCACAGTTTAGTCCCTAACACCCAGCATCGTGTGGAGTAGGGAATACAGAGACTTGGGCAAATAGGAAAGTTGGAGTGGGGTTGATACGTGTGTCCTGCATCCCTGACTCTTACCTACGTTTCACAAGAAGGCCCAGAAGACACTTCCATCACTAAGATATCAAGGAATACCTTAGTAAGAGGAGCAGTTGCATCCTTAAAAAGTTCTATGGCTGCTTTCCTTCATAGGCCAGATATGATCATGGGGGATGCTGCTATTTGGATGGGATCCCTGATCTCACTGGAGCTAGTGAGATCCCAGAGTGGCAGAAGTCAAGTGGCAGCACTTAACTGCCAAAGACAAGGACAGCATTGATGTTTCAGCAAGAGGAATCTGACATGGCATTCCTAGGAATGATAGATGGGCAGCTTCCTAGTGTATTGCCTGGTCTATATAATTGAAAAATACTAGGTCATGTAGCTAAAAACTGACTTGAGCCACTGCATTGGAGCAACCAAATTTCTCACCTAATTTCCAGACATAAGTCAGTTCACAAATTCAGTCTCTTGATTGAAAGGGAGACTGGGTCTCCTTAGGGAAGGACCCTGGAGCTTTGCAAGTACGTATCATAAGTCTTCCTTGAACATTTCTCCAAGGGGACTTGTTGCTTTCAATTGAGTGACTGTGCATTAGGGAAAAAGAAATGCCCAAACCTTTGGGGAATTTCTAGATATTGGCTCTAAATTCATGCTAATTCTTGGAGATTCAAACACCACTGTGGTCCCCCAGTAAAGCTGGGACTTTAGGTGCTCAGGTGATAGATGGAGTCTTAACCTCAACTCTGACTTGTAGTTTTTGCTTCGTGTATTTTGGGGGTTTGTTGTTATGTCCATGCTATGGATTGAATCTTTGTGTCTTGCCCAAAATTCATATGTTGAAATCCTGACTCCCAGGGTGATGGTGTTAGGTTGGGTTTTTGGGAGGTAATTAGGTCGTGATGATGAACGCCTTATGAATGGGATTAGTGCCCTTATAAGAGAGGACCAAAGGAGCTTGTTTGCCTTCCACCATGTGAAGACACAGCTAGAAGGCACCATCTGTGAAGCAGAGGGCAAGTCCTCATCTGATACTGAATTTGCTGGCACCTTGATCTTGGACTTCTCAGCCTTCAAAACTCTGAGAAATAAATTTCTGTTGTTTACAAGCCACCCACTTTATGGTATTTTGTTACTGCAGCCTGAACAGACTAATACATTCATATACACTT